TTGAAAATATAAAATAAACCATTTTAAAATGTTGAAAGTATACATATTCCGTAATCTAATTTTTACTTTCAAATACATTAGATCCATACCATGAATGATCAAACCAATTATCACAAATCCATGCAAATTTGTAGCATCTAAATTGCAATAAATATCAATAAGTAATTAAGCATCATTATTTCAATAACATAATATTCACTTTCATTCATCATTCCATATTAAAGTTCACATTGAAAGTTCAAAACCAAGCTAATAGAACCCCATCAACTTACAACAATACTTTTTATTTTTAAGCAATCTAGATTGATGACTAATGGAGTGAAACTACACAAAGGCAATTACAATAACTATTAACTGACAAATATGCATCTATTATCATTAAAAATGGAAATGAGATGCAACTTTCTATGTGTATTTTGCCAAGTACCCAAATTATATACTGATGTTATATGGTTATATGCAAAACTATCCAACAAGCAGCAACTTGACCAAGTTAAAAGCGACCAAAAAGCGATCCAATTGTCAAAGCTAATGAAACCCTGCAATAAAGCCAAGAAGCTTCATCTTTGATTTTATATTGGTACAACTACAATATACTTATATACTTGATGATAATTACTGTTCATCAACACAAAAGATCCAAAAAAACCCTCCACCATATATACTCATATGTCTAGTTATTAGACAAAGTCACAAATATGAAAACAAATTAATATAAAATAAGGTTTATGAATTAAATAATTGTAAGAGAAATTAAATATGATATTTACTACATAACCAAAAAAAATTAAACAAGATATTTACTATTTTAAAAGTTAGAAAAAATTATAGATTTACTTTACCTACTACGTTATAACTAAACGTGCAAACCATAAAACCATTCATGCTAGAATGGTAGAATCCAAATTTAGTTTGTCAAATTCTGCAAAGGAACAAAACATAGAGTTCAATGATGTTTAAAGTTAATTGAGATAGAATTTTTGAATAATATATCATATCTTTTCTTGTGCTATCCAGCACTTCCAAGTCCTCTTCCTCAAAAATTGACAGCTAACAACCAATTTGGTGCACAAATAAGGGCTTAAGCCATTATAAGGTTTAGCGAAGATCTAAAGGTATATAAAGGCTCTATCTCCTATACTAAATATTGATTTAAAAGCCATAATGGAAATGAGAAAGGCTAGAACATATCTAGCCATGGCTGCTAGTATTGAGAATCTTGGGACATTCATTTTCAACCATTGGAGAGTATCAAAATCGTCAATATCATTCTCCTTATCCCCCCCTAAATACTTATCAAACTCTTTTTTTTTTTAAATTATGGCCACTCTCAATTTTGTATCTTTTGTAAGTAGAATTAAATTCTCGTCTATACTTTTGCATTGACTCAATCTCAATTAAAGCATTACAACCACACCATTACTACCCTCTAGAATTACATCTTGACCAGCATAAGAAGCCATTCTCTTGTATTCATTAAACAATCTTCTTAATTCCACACTCACCATATCCACATATTGTTGTTTTTCTCTAAGCCAAGCAGTTTTAACAACAAAAACTAAAGAAATGGTAGTTTGTTCCTTAGGTCAAGATCAACAAGGAAAATGTTCTCATTTAAGTCATTGGGGCTGTTCTAATATTTTTTTATACTTTGATCTCATTTTACTAGCCATATCACAACCATCCACATCCTTTTCCCATTTTGGAAACATAAAATCAAGCTTAAATTTTAAATAAAACAAACATATATCAATAATACATATATAAACAAATGTTTATAAATTAAAAAACATGAAATTAAAACAAACATTTATTAACAATGCATATAAACAGATATGCATAAATTCATAACATGAAATGAAGTTTAAAAGACTAACTTCACTAATTTTTGGGAAGTATACATTGTTGGTAGGGTAAAGACTACTATAAATCTTTTTTTTTATCAAGTAGTAGAAATGTTCTAGAAACTTGACAAACTTCACAATTTCTTGATCAATATATGATGGAAATCTAGGTCCAAAATTCAATTTTGACCTCATTTCTTTGTCTTGCCTAGCATATCTTCAATCAAAGAAGTATAATATTAACATGTGATAAACTAATTAAGCAACATGAATAAAGTTTAATAAAACAAATATAATACAAACAGTTCAAAATAAAACTTAATAACAAAAGCAAATTAGATATTACTTCTCAATTGTTGTCTCATTCTTTTCAATTGTGTCCAACATCAAATACAAAGAGTTTCATCCAATAGGAACCTCTAAACAAAGCCACTTTTTAGTTTCGATCTCTTCAAAACCAACAGTATCCTTGAATCTCTTCAATTTTAAGGGGCTTTGTCTCATATATTTAATAACAACTCTAACAATAGTCACTAATTTTTGTATTTCTTTCTATTATGTTCCATCACCAACAACTAGGGTAATCAAATGAGCTACACATCTCATGTGCAAATCTTGAGCCCCCAAAATTGATGTTCTTCACTTGTTTAAGGCATTTTTAAAAACTCTAATAACCTCATCATTTGATGATGCATTATCTACAGTCAAAGCCTACACCTTAATGCCCTAATCTTTGAAATAGCTCTTTAAAAGGTCTCTTAACTCTTCTCTTTTGTGAATCTTAATAGGACAAAAATTAATAATTTTTCTGTAAAACTCCTAATCTTTATCAATGTGATGCGTAGTAAAACACATATAAATAATTCTTTGAAGTGATGTCCATGTGTCCATGGTAAGTGATACCACTATTGTGATTCCTTGAAATATTTCTTTAGCTTGAACCTTTCTTCAACATATATATCACAACAATCTCTAATTATTGACCTTCTAAATGGGATCTTAAACATAGGGGGCAATGCATACTAGAAGAACAACCTAAACCCTTTATTTTCTACAAAACGAAAAGGAATTTCATTAATAATAATAACCTTTGCTAAAGCCCTCCTCATAGCCTTAAGATCAAACCTCTAAGTGCCTAACTAAGGCACTTACCCACCATTCCCTACTTCAACAATAGAAAACTTAAGTAAAGTTTGGTTTTTCTTGAAGCCAACATATTTACTACAACTTAATAAATAAGTTTTCATGGATGAGGTCCCATTAGTTGTAGTATTAGAAGATAAAATCGTGGTACAATAATTACATCTAAACTTATCTTTACCATCCTTATCAACAAATTCAATGAAGTGATTCCCAACTTTAGATCTTTGGCTATTACCTGTCTTTCTTTTCACACCAATAACATTCTTGCCTTTTGCTACTCTTAACTCCTCTTGTTTGAAATGGTTGTTGGAAACAATATCCTTGCACAGTTGCATTCTGTGGCTATGGAGCATCAATCAAACAAACATCTCTTCCTATAAATAACTAATACACAAGTCAATATTTTGCATTCTATACATAAATTAAAGGAAATGCCAATCTTAGTAACTACTCTAATTTATAATTAACTTACACGTGACCTTATATTTTGCATCTCTTGATCTTTCATCCCACAACTTATCAATAGTCCAACATAATCAAGATGAACTTAAAGTGAAAGATAAAATAAAGATAGAGTTAGTGTCAAAATCAAATTGATTTTTTGTATTCCAATAGATTAGAGTTACTTACAAGTATATCGAACTCGATTAGAAATTAGGGTTAATTATAATACTAAGATATTTAAAATTAATTTAGGGTTTTCATTAACATTACAATGAATATAAGAAATTTGAAATTGATTTAAGGGTTTTAATTAAATGACTATACAAGGGTACAATGAAATCAATTCAATCAATTGGGCAATATACCTAAAGTTCATTGTATGTTATAGATTTCAATAAAGATGAAAATGGAAAGTGTTGAGCTAGGGTTTCACCATACCGTTTTGGAATCCTACACTAGATTAAGCAGCTAAATCCAGCTATGTTCAAGGATCGTAATTGTAATTTTGCAATTCTCCTTCTATTTCTCTCGATGGGGCTAGCTCTTCATAGACATAAGGCCAAGCTTCGATAGCGACGCGAGGGTTGAGCTTTTCATCTTCAATGCCAACAAAAGCAAAAGGAGTGTATCAGTGTGTTTTAAATGAAACCCTAAACAAAAACAATTATCCTAATGTAAGAATATTTTACCTATTTTAGTTTGAATACAGATATGGAATCTATCCTTGTAACAGAGTCTTAAAGTCAAAACTTAGAAGTGTAATTGAAGAAGATAGGATTGTTATTCACGAATTCGAAATCAAATCTTGAATCAAGATTAGTGTTTGGGTTTCTACTATTAAATATATCACGATTGGAAAAGAGGAGAAAAAGCTTATGACTAGCATTGGGCAATGGTAGTGAAAAGCAAAGGAGATTGATTTTTAAGAGAATGAAAAAAAAATATAGGTGTAAAAGCTTTTCTACTTCAGAAAAATTGATAAAAATCCATGAAAGATTAGGTGGGAATTAAGGGAATATTGATCTTTGGAGTTGTAGCATTAGGAGGGAAATTCATCTTTGGAGTTCTAGCTTTGGAGGGATTTTTTCCAGATAAAGGGAGAGTGAAAATGAGGAAGAGCTAAAAGGCGGTAGCACATTGTTTCCATTTAGGGTTTTTTATTTTTTAGTTTTTTGGGCCAAAAGATTTGGGCCTCAGTTCGATTAGTTAGGAAGCCCTATTTGGTTTTTCATTGTTAGGCCTTTTAACTAATATGGAACCGAAAGCTCATTGGTTTTTCACCAAAACTGACCTTAAATTCACCAAAACCAATTCATTTAAACCAAATTCACTTTTTTGGTTTGGTTTTTGTGGTTAACCAAACGAATGCCCACCCCTAGCGCTAACATGTGTTTTCAATAGTCAAACAAATGAAATTGCGATGGATAGACCATATTGATATGTTTTCTGAAGTTACTATATCAATTTGAGAGAAACATTTCAGACATAAGTGATACAAGTTCAATTTTTAATGGACTATTTGTGAAATTTAGATATGTATATACCCTTTTAAAACCCTAGCACCACGCCACAGTCCAACGCACGGATATTTCCGTCGTTAGCCTCTCGCATGCGCATTTTGTCATCTCTTATTTCCTCATCAGCTTCCTTTGGTCACAAATTCCTCTCGCGCTTCACCTTGCGTTCCTTGAACGCCGCCTCACTCCGATCCCAAGCACCGCCCTCAGCCGCTTCCACTCGTCACTCCACACAAATGGATGCATCCGAGGAATCGCTCCGCAAGGCCCTAGCCGATAAGCAATCGGCCGTCGAGGCCCAAGGCATCGCCGTTAGGCAACTGAAGGAGGCTGGTGCGTCGAAGCCGGAGATTGATGCTGCTGTAGAAGCCTTGAACGATTTGAAAGTTGTGAAATCCGCGATCGAGAACCGGCTCCAGGCTGTTGTTGTCGGAAATGACGGCGGTGCCGCTGGCAGGGAGGCGTTCCGTCAAGCCGTGGTGAATACTCTGGAGCGCCGGTTGTTCTACATCCCGTCTTTCAAGATTTATAGGGGTGTGGCGGGGCTTTATGACTATGGCCCGCCGGGTTGCGCCGTTAAATCCAACGTTCTTGCATTCTGGCGTCAGGTATACAATAGCTTAACAAATATCAGACATTTCTCGTTCTTTATATAATAGATATTGAAAAGTGAAGAAAAGTTGGCATACAAATTGAGTTAAAATTGGGAGATTTAGTTTTAATTAACTCTTCATTTTGTTATTTTAAGAATTATTTGATATTGCTGGCAGATTGTTGTAGTTTTGTGAAAGGAATTGCCCGTAATTTCAGCATTGTTTTGTTTAATTATATTGAAGCAAAATGAAAACTTTTGAATTCCTTCAATTGATATACCAATTCAGAACAGAACATTCCAGTTTAGTGTGTTTTTTCTACTTGTTTCCAGCACTTTGTCCTTGAGGAGAACATGCTGGAGGTTGACTGCCCCTGTGTTACACCTGAGGTTGTCCTGAAGGCATCTGGTCATGTGGATAAATTTACTGACCTCATGGTTAAGGATGAGAAAACTGGGACCTGTTATCGAGCTGATCACTTGCTTAAAGATTTCTGCAATGAAAAGCTTCAGAAAGACCTCAGCTTAAGTGCAGAGAAGGCTGCTGAGCTTAAACATATACTTGCTGTCCTGGATGATCTTTCAGCTGAAGAGCTGGGCGCAAAGATCAAGGAATATGGAATTACAGCTCCAGACACAAAAAATCCTCTCTCTGACCCTTATCCATTCAACTTAATGTTCCAAACATCAATTGGTCCTTCTGGTTTGAGCCCTGGGTAGTTCTTATACTGTTCCTTTTCTAGTCATTTTTATAGAGCTGCCTTGGTAAAATCAAATTACTCAAAATTCAAACCCACATGTTGTTTGGCCTGTTGTAGGTATATGCGTCCAGAAACAGCACAAGGTATTTTTGTAAATTTTAGAGACTTGTACTATTATAATGGGAACAAGCTCCCCTTTGCTGCTGCTCAAATTGGTCAGGCATTCAGAAATGAGGTTTTTGTCTAAGCCCTTTGATCTGATTACTTGTGCATATAAATTTCGTTTTCTAGATGCATTCTTTTGTTTATGCAAATGGAAATTGCCATGTATGTGAGGATGGTTCTGTTTTCTAGCTAAAGTTGCCACATCCTGTCTGCTAAAGAGAGGGGTCATGATTTATTACTTTCTTGGTAGCTAAGATGCTTGTTCTGATGAATTTACTTGAATACATTTTTCCAAGTAGTGTTCAAGAGAACGATGCTTTTCCCATGTGTACAGATTTCTCCTCGGCAAGGCCTTCTGAGAGTTCGAGAGTTTACACTAGCAGAGATTGAGCATTTCGTTGATCCTGAAGACAAATCCCACCCAAAATATTCTGAAGTTGTGGACTTAGAGTTCTTGATGTTTCCCAGGGAAGAGCAAATGTCTGGACAATCTGCAAAGAGAATTCACCTTGGTGAAGCAGTTTCAACGGTTGGTCTAAGTCATGTTTATTGTGATTTTTTTTCTTCTGTCTTCACTTCTGTCTTAGACTACCTTCATATGGTGGTGATGCAATTCATTCTCATTTAGGGAATTGTCAACAACCAGACCCTTGGCTACTTTATTGGAAGAGTTTATCTCTTCCTAACTCGCCTTGGTATTGACAAAAACCGCTTACGGTTCCGGCAGCATCTTGCGAATGAAATGGCTCACTATGCTGCAGATTGTTGGGATGCTGAGATTGAGTGTTCCTATGGTTGGATCGAGTGTGTTGGTATTGCAGATAGGTCTGCTTATGATTTGCGTGCTCACTCTGTAAGAACTTTCGTACACATCTTTTACTTTTGTAATTTTGAGAAATAGTGTTATAGAATATTTTCTTAGCCCAAGGTAGTTAGATTTGCTAGGGAGAGTAGGCCATATTAATTGCATTTAGGTGAACTATGGCATGAAGAGCAACAAAAATAATAATTATACAAAGAAATGGGAGGTTATTATTGTTGCTTTATTGCAACTTTATTGCAACTTTTATCTGTGTGACTGTTACATCTCTACATAAAACTGTAATTGAGCAAAATTTAACCTCTCATGCTAATGCTATCAAAAGCAAGCTAAAATGGAGGAAAACAGAAATTAAAAGGAATGCTTATAACACTCCTGCTCCTAAAAATAAGGTTGTATGATAAATACTTGTGTATAATTTTTTTTCTTGGTTTTTTATGACAGGACAAAAGTGGTGTACCTCTTGTGGCTCAAGAAAAATTTTCAGAGCCTAGAGAAGTGGAGGTATGTAATACATTAGTGCTAACAGTAAGTTCATGTCTATAGCAACAAAATATCACTGCTTGAGATAAGAAATAGATTGTCTAATGGTCTTTATTTTCAGAAACTTGTTATAGCTCCAGTTAAAAAGGAACTAGGCCTTGCATTCAAGGGGAACCAGAAGATGGTTGTTGAAGCTCTGGAGGTAAATAGTGATGAAATTTGACTCCCTTGTTTATCTTTGACCCTTCAGTGCTGCACGTAATGTGCTGTTTGCATTTCATCAGTATTCATATATTTACTTTTGTTGTTAGGCCATGAATGAAGAAGAAGCTATGGGAATGAAGGATGCTTTGGCATCCAAAGGGGAAGTTGACTTCTATATCTGCACTCTTGGGAAAAATGTTGTCATTAAGAAGAACATGGTCTCTATTTCAAAGGAGAAAAAGAAGGAACACCAAAGGGTTTTTACTCCATCAGTGATTGAACCATCCTTTGGGATTGGACGTATAATATATTGCCTTTATGAGCATTCTTTCTATATGAGGTCAAGTAAAGCTGGAGATGAGCAGTTAAATGTTTTCCGCTTCCCCCCTCTCATGGCACCAATCAAATGCACTGTATTTCCACTGGTTCAGAATCAACAATATGAGGAGGTTGCCAAACATATCTCAAAGTCATTGACAGCTGCTGGAATATCACATAAGATAGACATTACAGGTATGCGTCTAACATGAATTATACAACTTTGTTGTCAGTGGTCACCCATACTTGCATCATTGCATGACCCTCTACATATGTGTATAGATGGAGTCATGTTTAGCAAATATCGCTGGGGTTATTTTATGGTAGAAACTGAATTCCACAGAGATAAGGATCTGTATACTGTTCAGGAAAATATCATTTTCAGATATTTCCTGAAAAGAAGATAATGTGTGTCTTGCGTGCATAAGATTGCAAGGCAAAAAAGGGTAGCACTGCATGATAGAAGAAAGGATGGTACACGGTAGATGATTTGAGGAACATCAGGGGATAATGATATGCCCTAGTTGTGTGGAGAAGAAAACCATTTGCACTTGAAATGATCTATTTGAAAGGAAAAATAGACCATTAGAAGGGCATAGGGCAAATTTCTCACTTTCCATTGAAGTGATTAAGCACTTTGTCATAATCCAAGATTTCCTCAGCCAAAGGCATCATTTCTGTTGAATGCTACCTAGCATTCCTCTTTTCCGGTGTGTATTTGTGGAACATTGCACTATTGGTTATCCCGTTGCATTGTGTTGTTTACAGGTACCTCAATAGGGAAAAGGTATGCAAGAACAGATGAACTTGGTGTACCCTTTGCAATCACAGTTGATTCAACATCATCAGTGACAATCCGAGAGAGAGACAGCAAGGATCAAATCCGTGTTACCGTGGAAGAGGCTGCATCAGTTGTGAAGTCGGTGACTGATGGACAGAGAACATGGGACGACGTCTGGTCAAGCTTCCCCCACCACTCATCTGGGCCAACAGAATGATTGAATCTCTTTAAGTTTCAGTTGATGTATTATTACAATATATCTATCTACTTCGAAGTTCTCTTAGAAATTGCTTCATGTTTTCCATATAACTGATCAAAGCAAATTTCAAGTTTTGGAACAAAACCTTGCATGTGTACTTCAAATTTCTTATTTTAACCATCGTAATACCAGAAGAGTTTTTGGTATCTAATTTAGCCATTTCAATGAGCATGTCGGTTTATTGTTGTGATACTTTTATTCTTTCATTTGAATGCATTTTCTCCTATTTTTCTTGTTTTAAAATGTCTCAAGTCACCGAACTCCGGTGGCCGAGATTTTGTGGACGGATCTCGCCGTTGTGCTTCTTCAGCAATCTTTGGCCCTTTTCTTTGATTTCTCTATTATCATGTTTGGATGAAAAATAATAAAAGTATGTTTAGATAAAAGTTGACATAGGAAATGGAAGGGAATAGGGGGGAAATATGAGAGGAAAGTATTAGTAGCACTTTTGTTTGGTTAGTTTAGAATAAAATGAGAGGAGAGGGGAAAATTATATTTTTTATTTAATTAAATAAATTATAGAAAATTCATTATAAAATTAATAAAAATTTCATAATTTTATTTATTAAAATTAAAATTAAAATTAAATTTTAATTACATTTTTAAAATAGATAAAAAAAATAAAAATAAATCAAATTCCTTCAAATCAAAAGTATTAGAAATAAAGAATTTGAAAGTTTCATCTTCCCTTCATTTATCTTCCTACCTTAAAAAGTTTATCCAAACAAAAAAAAAGAAGACTTCTCCCTCACTCTCCTCTCCTCCCTTTCGCTTCCAACTCCTCCAATTCAAACTCATCATTAAATTTCTTCTCACCATTACCTTTCATTTTCTCTTTTTATTGTGTTTAGGAAGGAAACCAACTTTCATCCTCTTACCCAAAAAAGTTTAGATATTTTAATATCTTAACAAATAAACATGTCATGCCTTATGTGGTATAGTTAATAACTTTAGTTGATAAATTAATTAGAGTATTAAAATATAATATTTCTAATTATTAATTATTTTTAAGTCTTAAAATTTTAATTTATATAAAGATTGAAATCATTAGAAGAGAAGTACTTCAGAAGAAACGACCATCACATTGCAAAAAAATAAAAAATAAAATAAAATAAAATAAAATAAAATAAACTACTACTACCCACGTAGACCGGCAGAGAGAGCCGATGGAGCAAGTTTTTGAAATTTGGGCTTTAAGAGGGTATTAGTTGTTTGGGCCTTAAATACATAAATTTTAGTGTTTTTTTTTAGGATATTTGGGGTATTAATTTTATAATAATTGGTTATTTAAAATATTTCCATACTATAATAAATAAGTTCATAATTATTTTATTATTTTAATATCTCAATACCATAATAAATGGGTAAAATTCATTTTTTAAGCCTTTATTTTTTCACACAATTTGTCATGAATAAGTTTAATTTTTTTAAAATAAAAGATTCCTCCAAGTTTCTCAACTTGCCAACTCAATAGATATCACAAATTTTGATTAGGTAAAACTCTACATTAAGTCCTTGAACTTATTTTAGATTATTGATTAAGTTTTTAAATTTTTATTAAAATAAATAAGTCCCTAAACTTGATGATTCAAACAATTTAACCATTTTCCTTACAACAGATTTAATACATGTTTGTATCTTACTTATATGGACAAGTTCAATACTCACCACTTAGGTAACGATATGTTAATAATTGATCCATACAAATAAAGCATAAACAAGCGTTAAGTCCACCAAAAGGAAGAGGGTAAATTATTTAAATTACCAAATTCAAAAACTTATTTGTTTTAATAAAAATTTAGGGTTTAAACCAAGAATTTGGGGCAAGTTCGAGGGCTTAAGGTATGGGTATGGTTTTGCCTAAGACTATTAACAAGTTAAGTTGAATTGAATATCTAGATACTCATGCTCAAATTTACCTTAAAAATTCAAGTTCAAGTTGAGTTCAGATATTTGTTAAGTTCAAAATAATTGAACTTGTGCTCTAACTCATGAGTATTAGAACAAGTTCAAGTTTTCTCACGTGTTCAAGCTAATGAATACTTTAACTTCAATTCAAGTTTTTTTTTTTTTTTTTTTTGGTAATTCTAAAATATTTCAATAATTAATGTTTTAATTGTAAAGTTTTCTTTTATATTTTTTAAAAATATTATAGCACTAAAAGCTTAAATATATAAAGCCCAACAACAAAGAAACAACCATCAACTCCGTTGGAATATTTTTATTAATAATTATAATTTAAAGTATATAACTTATTTAAATTACCTTTCAACTTTATTAAAATTTTAGGTTATTATATATTTAAATTTAATAAATATATATAATATAATTTTTAATGTAAAATTGAACATTTACAAGTAGTTCTTGAGTAATTATGAAAATTTGAGCTCAAAATTATTTTTTTTTATCAAATTCAATATTAAAATCGATCTCGATTTATTTAAAGTTTAAATTAAATTTAATTTAAATAACTTACGAGTTATTTATAAATTATTTTAATCGTTAATAACCCTAATTTTACCTTTTTGATTATTAGTAACGAAGCAAAATATAAACATGCTTGAGGTTAACTTAATCAAGCTCAAACTCATTAGATTCAGACCGAAGCCAAATTCAGTAACTCGAATAAAGCCCAGCTCGTTTGTATCGTTGTACGCAACAAGGTCGGTGGGAATCGCTGCGCAGAGGGTCCCAACTCCTAGGGTGCTAACAAAAAGCAAGGAAATTCTACCAAAAAAAAAACCAAACAAACAAACAAAAAGCAAGGAAACGACATCGTGGCAGCATGAAGTCTAAAAAAATTAATATGCCGTCTTCATCGTCGAATAAAACCATTTCTCTTCATTCCTGAAGGTCAATCTACTCCCCTCGCGCAGTGCGACCTCTTAAATTAACTTCTCTGGAACCCTAATTTACAGCATTTAGGGATAAGGAGTCAACCAAAAGATGCTGAGGGTAGCTGGGAGAAGGCTCTCCTCTCTGCCATCGAGGTCCGCCACCTTCCTCTCTCGGAACGACCCTCTTAATGGCGTCTATGGTGGTGGTGGTGGTGCTGCTGCTGCTGCCGAATCTCCTTCTGCATCCAGATCCATCCCACCGCTCCATCCCTTCTCCTTCAATTCTCACTATCTGAATCTAATCAGAGGTCCGCTTTTGCTCCCCTTTCTTTTCGTTTCCAGATTTCTAGGGTTCTATTTTATCTTTATTGTCTGCTGCTTTGATTTCACTCTTTAGGTAATGCATGATTAAATCAAACGATTTTCAATTATTCAGAGGATTTTTATTATTATTTCCATTTTAGCATATATTTGATGTGGATTTTAGTTTTTGATGCCTTAGTGAATCAAAATTGGTAAAAGTATTGGCATATAATTCATTTTCTATTTATTTTTTCTTTTTCTGATCCTCATTATTTGTTGGGAATGGTTCCGGTGATGAATGATAGTGTACTAAGTATGACTTAAAACCTGCTGTAATAAGATTTGCTGAAGATCTTAAAATTTGATAATTTCCTACCTTTATTCATTTCAATTAGTTGTAATAATGTGGAAATGTCTTATTGATGATTAGTTGAACGGCAGTCTGTGATATCTTCTTTTTCAATTTATATTCACTTGAGTTTTACATGAAGTCTGATTGATAATAGAAGGCTTTTAAAGAATGTGTTCTTCTCTAGTAGGTTTCTTTGAAGCCAAAAAATTTTCATGTCCGGAAAATGATCCACTTTTAGGCTTTCGTGAAATGAAAATATCTGAATCGAACATAATATTGTGGAATGAAATTTTTTACATACTTGATCGATTGCGGGATGCAGTGTTCACATTAAGTACGAGTATATTCAAGATCCCCATGACTTTGAAGATAATGAGTCATCGAGCAGCAGAGTTCTTGAGCAGCACTGGGCACCCCGGCATGGCAACTACTGTTATGTTCAATGACGCAGCAACAATTTAATAGAAAGGAGAAACTAATGGTGGGGAGTTGAAATGCTATGGTTCTATTGTTGTCTTGTCACCCAACTTAGCTTGCATGCAAGTCTAACACCATGACCTTCATGAGTTGCTGCAACTATGCCCTTACTTGTTATTTTTTTTTATAAGCAGAACATGGATTGTAAACTGATAACCATTTTTTCTGATGGATTGGTTCATAGCTCTGTGTTTGCTTTTTTGTGCTGTCTCTGATGTGGTGTTGATAAAGTAACAGTATAGCTGTATAATTTCATGCATTTGCTTTCTGCAGGTTTCTCTTCTGAAGCCCTCACCCCAGGACATGATATGGGTATGATCTCTGATCTCCCTGCTACTGTGGCAGCAGTGAAGAACCCTACTTCAAAAATTGTGTATGATGAGCACAATCATGAGCGCTATCCACCTGGTGATCCCAGCAAGCGTGCATTTGCTTATTTTGTCTTAACAGGTGGCAGGTTTGTGTATGCGTCCGTAATTCGTCTTCTAATTCTCAAGTTCGTTCTGAGCATGTCTGCCAGTAAAGATGTCCTTGCCCTAGCATCCCTTGAGGTCGATCTTGCCAGCATTGAGCCTGGAACTACTGTCACAGTCAAGTGGCGTGGGAAGCCAGTTTTCATTAGGCGGCGAACTGAAGAGGACATTAAGTTGGCCAACAGTGTTGATGTCACATCTCTTCGTGATCCACAAGAAGATTCAGCCAGGGTCAAGAATCCAGAGTGGCTTGTTGTTGTTGGGGTCTGCACCCACTTGGGGTGCATTCCCCTACCAAATGCTGGTGACTTTGGTGGTTGGTTCTGTCCATGCCATGGTTCACATTATGACATCTCTGGTAGAATCCGCAAGGGGCCAGCTCCTTTCAATCTTGAGGTACCCACCTATAGTTTCTTAGAAGAGAACAAGCTGCTGGTTGGATGAGCCTGATGTTGGAGTCCCTCTTTCTCAGGACAGCAGTCACACTATGGAATCGTCATGATAGATAATTTCTTCTATACGCGAAGAAACAGATCTCTCTTTAGCAAGTTTCTTCTGTTTTTCGTTTGGATATTTTATCCACTGCCAATTTTGGGACAGGTTTCTGAGGTTCTGAATAACCAACAGCTGAATGTTTGTTGAACATTTTCTGTTTGAATAGCTCTTCGGCATTCATCTTCTCAAATAATTGGATCTTGTTAATACTTTAATAGTATTTATTGATCAAGGATTCTTTAAATCGCATGATTGTTAAATTGTTAACGGGATTCTTGAATGTGTTGCGTTATTTGTAACAGCAAAATGAACTGGCTAATATCCATAATATACAGTCTCAAGCCACTGTGGGCTGCGGATTTTGTTGCTGGCAACGTTTAGATGCCCCCTGTTATGCAGAAGCATTATTACTTAGTAATGTGTTATTGAATTTCAATAGTACACATGCTTCTGTAAGACCTGTCTCTGCAAAAACGATTATGGGACCTTTGGTTTAGATGTAAAATATGGTTATTCAAACCTTATATATGTTTCTCTAGCTATACCTAAAATTCTTGTGGCATTAAGGAGAAACTAAAGGAAACAAGTTGGCACTTAGCAGTCCTGCATGGTATAGTTTTGCCTCCATGTGTGTCTGGGAGCTGGCACTCATCAGTGTCACAAAGTAGGGTTGATTTCAGCTTCTTGTTCTTGACAAAAACTATCTGCAATAAGATTTCGCGAAACAGGAATAGAATTATAGGGTAAGGTGAAAAATAAACTTCGAAATTTAACAAACAAATCAGTTCCAGTTACATGCTAAATCCGTTCCTCTAACTAACGAAGTTTTATAATCTGATATTTTTCCCCTCTTCTTCCTCTCCGAGGAAAGAGACGGCATACTTTACCTTTTTCTTAGTTTTGCTTTCAATTAATGAGTTACAACCTTCCATGCAGTCATGAATAAATAAGGCACATGAACCACGTTTAATTTGCCAAGCCTCTTTGGGTAATAGTCCTGCAATCAAAACTGTAGCACAGGTAGCATGTGTAAGTAATTGGTTTAGAAAATGGTTAATGGTGAACATCATACCTGCAAGATTGATAGAATTGCTAGGTATCCACATGAATATCGCAATTGGAATATCCCCATCCTTCAAGCTCAGCAATTGCAACAAACTTTTTCTGTCCCTCCGGGATTCTGAGACACACAGTAACGAACATTGACATTTGTAAACAAAGAACATTACATTTCCTTGATTAAAGCTTTCAAAGAAGGTCATTTCTTTTCGGTGTTCTTGCTGGGAAATGCATAAAGGAGATTTCCCACAACTAACACTTCAATTGAAAAAGGCCAACGAGATTCGACTTTTTAAGGAGAAGTTACCTTGCACATATTTTGTCCAGACAATAAACACAATAGCCTGCAGACAATAAGATGATACAAACATTTTAGCTGGAGACAACTCCTGTGTATTATACTCCAATTCAGTAGCACCACACCAAATACAGAATAAAAAGTCAAAACATGCGGTTCTTGTTTCATTATGGACCTAGACTACAAAAGGGTTTAAACGAAATGAGAACATACGCTTGAATTCCTCCAGACTTCCTTTGCCACCAGGCTTATGTCTACTACCAAATAGGACGATCACTGACTGTCTCCGCTTATCCACACCTTGCATATAAAACTCGTTATGGGAGAGATGAGTGGGAATTTCAGATTCAGATATGTAACCATTTGGGACAAATGTTTGCCTCCACCTCAGATATATACTTAAGGAACATTGTAGATGCCTTCTCTATATATCTAGATCGCAATCACGCAGAAATCTCTTAATCATCAAATCATTCACTTCCTGCAAACCCAGAAGTTCAACGTTAATGAAACAGTGGGCCCAAAAATATAATCTTTCAAACAGAAATGCCAAAATGTTAAGAGAGAAAAACAACTCAAACTATAAAAAGAAGAAGAGGTCTTTCAACCATAATCCTCCAAGCACATACTAAGAAAAACCAAGAACTAGAATTGTAATCCCCGAATTCCACATTGCCATAGAAGTGTGGATGTGACTTGTATATAACTGGAAACACCAGCCGCCATGGGCTTCAAATATAAAATGCCCGCTATTTTGCGCATTTATTTCAAGTTCTTACCTTGGCAGAGGGAGTTTCCCTTCCAACTAGAGCTCTCATAATGCGGACTTTGCTTCACTCAATCTCATCAGTAATTGCAATCTCCTCTTCTCCCTTTTCTTCAGAGTCTTTGAACTCCAATTCCATTTCCTCCTCGCACTCCTTCACTGTTTCCATTTTCCCACCTCTGATTCGGACCCGCCGAAGCAGCAGAAGATAATATAGGGTGCATTACTTAAAAAGTCAATATAAAGAAAATTTATTTTAAAATAATATGTGTTGGTTTTTAACAATAAACTAATATTAGTTAATGAAATAGTATTATATATATGATATTGACTAAAAGGTAAAATAAATATATATTGAATAGAAAATACTAATAAACAAAAAACACAAAAATAAAAGGGTATTAATTAAAAAAAAAAGGTATTAATGAATACCTATTTTTAAAAGAATTTTTTTCATACATCAGACAACATAGTATATAATATAGGAGAGAATAGCCCTTCATTTGCCTTCCCTTATCCCTCCCTATACATCTTCAAGGGTATTTTATAAAAGAATGATATTAAAAGATTTTGCATTCAATTTAATTAATCTTTATTTTTTTTATCATATTTCATTTTATCTTTTTTTTCTCATCTTTCTTATAATCACTAAAACTAATATTTAAAAAAACAATAATTAAAAAAATATTAAAATATATGAAATAAATAAAGATCAAAATAATGAAATATAATCTAATGGACCAAAATTTTTATTTTTTTAAAGTTGAGGGGCTTGTGCCCCCTAAAATCTCCTTTGTCTCTGCATTATTATCATATAATTAATTATTTTCATTTAATATTCACTTATAATAGTACATGAATATATTCAATATATATCCACTCATGATATTGCATAAATGATGTGGTTATTTTCATTGTACCTGTTGTAGGCATTAAAAAAAAATGTCAAGATTAAAATATATTTGCTCTAGTAAAAATCTTGAAAATTAGGGTAATAAATCTTTAAAGAGATATTTTATCTTTAATTTAAAAAAAATAAATATATATATATTAAAATGACCAAATTATCCTTAAAGTGAAGGGTATTTGAGGTCATTTGGAAAAATTCCTTTGCTTATAAATAGGCCTTCATTTGATGAAGAAAAAAGAAAAAAAAAAAGAGAAGAGAGAAAAAGAGAGAGGAAGAAGGAAAAAGGAGAAAAGGAGAGGAACAACGAGCTTCAAGCTCCCTCAACAATTCTCGAAGTTTTCAAGCCCCAACCTCCTGCCAAGGGTAAGCTCTAAATCCATGTCAAGGAGAAAAAGTTTCAAGTGCAAGTCTTAAATCCCTTGAAGGACAAGAACAAGCTTAAGCCCTTGCCCTTCAGCCCCAACCTCCGGCCAAGGGTAATCTCCAAATCCATGTCAAGGAGGAAAAGTTTCAAGTGCAAGTCTTAAATCCCTTGAAAGACAAGAACAAGCTTAAGCCCTTGCCCTTCTAAAATTCAGCTGTTAATCAGAGGATCGTGCTGTTCTAAGACGTATTACTCTTCAAAGCCTAAGCACGTGCATGGCAACACTCCAAATCAGAGATTGTTTCCCATTTTTCTTCAAGTTTATAATAATTTGTATTTATTTTGCAAATCAATACATATTATTTGATTTTGCAAATTTTGTAATAACACATCTTTGGCGACTCCATTGGGGAAATCTCTGCCTCTCATCTTTCAGTTGAAGAAAAATTCCACCATATCTTTCTAAGCATGGTGGACTCAAAGCAAGCTGTAACTCCTCTTGCAACTCGAAAAGTTCAAATCTTTTCCAATCAATCTTCCTTGTTGACTCGTGCCAAAGCGCACATGACAAGATCCAAGTTGGTCTCCCCCTTGAAGCAATTCACTAGAAGACGTTGTAAGGAGGCTGCAATGAAAAAATGAGCATTAGCCACCCAATCGCCTTTCCAGCCTGTGAAAGATGTCGAGTACTTCTCTTCAGAATCTAGTGAAGGTGAAGAACTCAGTCTCAAGCCCAGTCATGTGTCTGCTTCGAAGTTAAAGTGGACTGACTATCCTTCATCATCGTCTGAGTCCCTCTTAGCTGCCTTGGTTACTGAGGCAACATCTGGTGACCCGGATGCTCTCCTCAAGGCTATGGAAGGCTTAAGGAAAGGTGTGGCTGAAAAGGATGCCCAAATCAAGGAACTCCAAGAATTGTTAGCGGCTCAACACTTATCAAAACAAAAAACCAAGTAGCATCAAGCTTAGTTGCTGAAAAAGCCCTCGAAAACAAGGAAGACTCATTAAGGACTTCAGATCGGGGTAAGCAAGTCACTACGGAGGAAAGCTTGGAGCAACAAAAGCAAGAGCAACTAGATCGAACAATTCTCCAAGGTGCTTTCCGTGACACTACTCATGCTACTGTGGCATCTCTTACATTTCCACAACTTAAACTTTTAGTTGATGATGTGATTCGAGCTCGACAAGGAGGGACCTCACAATCCTCACTTGTGTATGCCAAGCCCTATACTCGTAGGATTGATAATCTAAGCCTACCAGATGGTTACCAACCACCAAAATTCCAAAAGTTCAATGGGAAGGGCAACCCAAGGCAACACGTCACCCATTTTGTCGAAACATGCAACAATGCTAGCACCTATGGGGACCTCATGGTGAAACAGTTTGTCCGGTCCTTAGAGGACGCAGCCTTTGAATGGTACACTGACTTTCCTGCTGGGTCAGTGGATAGTTGGGACCAGTTAGAGCGAGAATTCTTGACACGTTTTTACAGTACAAAGCGTACTATTAGCCTCCCTGAGCTTGCTAACACCAAGCAAAAGAAAGATGAGTCTGTGACAGACTTCATTGAAAGATGGAGGTATCTCGTCCTAAATTGTTGAGAAAAGATTAGTGAGATCTCTTCTATTGATATGTGTGTGCAAGGTATGCATTGGGGGACTGCTGTATAACCTTCAAGCTAACATGCCACATACCTTTGAAGAATTGGCCACTCATGCCCATGACCTGGAAATTCAAATCGCTAGGCATGGTAACTTTCTTCCAACAGATGCTCACGATAAAAAGGAGTCTCGAAAAGATGTGAAGAAGGAAGTGAAACCTTCAAAAGCAAAAGAAACTATGGCAGTCACAACAGCGCCTGTGAAGATCTCACAACAAAAGCCAAAGTCAAATCCTAAACAAGGTGTCAAGATTGTTGAGGATCAGGGTCAAAAGAAGAAGTCTACATTGAAAGAGTTGCAACAAAAGGAGTATCCATTTGCAGACTCTAAAGTGCCGGCTATCTTTGAGTAATTGTTGGCGCTAAACCTAATCGAACTTCCAGCTCCTAAGCGCCCAGAGGAAGTTGGGACAGTAAATGATCCAAAATACTGTAAGTATCACCGAATTGTGAGTCATTCAATCGGTAAGTGTTTTGTGTTGAAAGATCTGATAGTTCGTCTTGAGAAAGAAGGCAAAATACAACTAGAAACTGAAGAAGGTTCCGCTACCACCAATGTTGCCATGGTTTCCTTTGGATCCTTCAGTCCAGTTCCACTCCTGCCTGTGCAACCAACCCCACTAATGGTTCAGCCTAAGGAGTTTGGTCCCCACTTGCCCAAGGGGGAAATTCAAGTTAAATTTCAAACAAATGATGAAGAAAAGATAGCTTATGCTTATCTTGGCATGCCTACTTCTGGAGGTCCAGGCTCTCTTTCTTTATATGACCTTATGATGGTAAATCTTGAAGATTGGGAATCAACATCTGAGTCTGAAGATGAGGTTGGTGATGGTTGGTCAACCTTCATTAGTAAGAGCAAAAAACACCGTAATCCAGTATCTAGTGGAATGCCACTCCCAGATCCTTATAAAATTATGTATGGTATCTATCCAGAGATAAAGCCGACTGGATGGTGTTTAAACTCTGAGTTTCCTGTCTTTTACAATGATGATGACAGGTGGATTCCAGTTCAATCACGAAGGAGGAGGCGCCATTCAAGACCCACACTACCATTCATCCAACAAAATCATTCATTTCTTTCAGCTTTGCTAGCTACACCAAAAAATCAAGAACAACATCAGGTAGTGAAAAGGAAGTCTGATTTACAAACAAGACTTCAACAAGTTCCTAAGAAGAGAAAGTCACTATCTGAGAAAGGTATGAACTCAAAAGAAAGAGCTGCAGTTACTCTTTATGAATACTTTCCAGAGGGATATTTTTCTGATGAGGAAGTATCTGTTAACGTCACAAGTTTCAAGACAGAAAACAAACCATCATCTAAAGAAGAAGCTGAGGGTTCCAAGAGCCAATCAAATGATCCCAAAGCTGATGGAAGTATAGAAAAATTGAAGCAACTTCCATCTAATTTATAGTTATCCAAAGCCTTGCAGCTTTCATGGGATACACGCCTTGCTCTTGTACAAGCTTTGTTAGACCCGAAAAAGTTCCAAGGTGAGCTGGCCAAGCCAGAAACTAAGGCTGAGTGTCTAGGAACAATAACCTTCATAGATGAAGACCTGCAACTTGGAACCCAAAAACATAACATGCCTCTTTATGTGAGTGGCATTGTTCGAGATCACAAAGTGAATCGAATTTTGATTGATGATGGATCTGCTGTCAACATAATGCCAATTTACATCATGAAGAGGATAGGGATAACTGTTGATGAATTGACTAGCAGTAAACTCCTAATACAAGGCTTTAACCAAAAGGGCCAACATGCAATTGGCAAGATCCACATTAATTTCCAAATTGCAGACATGGCAACCTCAGCTTTGTTCCATGTCATAGAGGCTAAAACATCATATGAGCTTCTTTTAGGACGAACATGGGTTCATGAAAATGGGGTGGTTCCGTCAACTTGGCATCAATGTTTTAAATATCATTCTGATGGCAAAACAAAATGTGTTATGGCTGAGAAAGAGCCTTTCATGAAAGAAGAGTCCCATTTTGCTGATGCCAAATTTTATGAAAGGAAGAAGATGATTTTGCAGCTCTTCCTATCAAGATGCCACAAATAAAACAAAAGAATGACGGAAAAATTGTTGTTCACCCTATAAAAGATCCATCTTCAAGTTCTGAAGTTCATCTTTCAGTAAAGGATGTGAAGGTACTCAAGGAAGATCTTGTGCTTCCATTGTCTACACTCTCTAAATTGGGCATTTCTAATCCAGTTATAAAAGAAATGGTTGAAACAGCCATAAAACATGAAAAGCAACCTCAAGGATGGTTTGATCCTCGTGCTCAAATGTTGCTAAAAAGGGTTGGCTTCAGAGAAGGAGAGTCTCGGCAACTTGGGGATTTGAACTCTATCCTCACAGGTACTCAAGCAACCCCAACTGGGAAGGAAGCTGTGTTGAGAGGAAAACCTGTGCCAAAATAGAGGCATGGGCTTGGATTTCAATCATCTAAACCTGCAAAGATCAAGATAAAAAATAAGTCAGCAAATCAAATAACCATCCAGATTTTTGAAACCAATGAGGTTGAAGGGACTCCACAACTACGAGTTTCAGCCCTGGAAAGGATTCAGCAAGAAAATATCCGAGTGTCAGTTTTTGAAAGACTAGGGCCTGCTCCTTCACTATTGACAATCCAAGAGAATCATTCTCAAAAGCCTTCAGTCTTTTCTAGACTTGGTGCTAAGCAGCAAAACAGAAAGAAAACATCTAAGAGTCAGAAAGTTCAGAAGAACAAGAACAAGTCTATGCAAAGAAAGAAGTATCAATGGAGGTGTAAAGACGTCCTTGATGGGCAAGAGATCTCAAAGCCTTCCGTTGAGGAGGTAAAGGCAGTTGAATCAAACCATGTCTCAATTGAGAAAATTTCTAACTCTGATTCTTCAAATGAAGAACCAAATCCAGCCCCAGAAGCCTTTGAGGAAGGGGGACAAGCTACTACTGACGAGCTAAAGCAACGGAACTTGGGTACAGAGGATGATCCAAGACCCATTTTTCTCAGTGCATCGTTGAGTTTGGAGGAAGAAGTAAGATATGTGCAACTACTTACTGAGTACAAGGATGTGTTTGCATGGTCTTACAAAGAGATGCCAGGCTTAGACCCAAAAGTAGTTGTTCATCGTCTAGCGATGAAGCATGGGGTACGCCCAGTGAAGCAATCGCAGCAACGTTTTCGTCCATACCTTATCCCACAAATTGAAGCTGAGGTTGATAAGTTGATTGAAGCTGGCTTCATTTGGGAGGTCCATTATCCATCCTGGATTGCGAACATTGTTCCAGTTCATAAAAAGAATGGACAACTCAGGGTATGTGTAGATTTTCATGATCTAAACCAAGCGTGCCCAAAAGATGATTTTTCGCTTCCGATCATAGAGCTTATGGTGGATGCAACCATGGGGCATGAAGTTTTGTCCTTTATGGATGGATTCTCTAGTTACAACCAAATTCGCATGGATCCTAAGGATGAAGAGCTTACAGCTTTTCGAACACCAAAGGGTATTTACTATTATAAAGTTATGCCATTTGGGTTGAAAAATGTCGGAGCCACTTACCAGCATGCAATGCAAATGACTTTTAGTGACATGTTGCATAAGCTGGTTGAATGTTATGTCGATGATTTGGTTGTTAAATCTAAGAGACGTGATGACCACCTCAATGACTTGAAAGTTGTGTTTGAAAGACTTCGCAAGTACCAGCTAAAAATGAATCCATTAAAACGTGCCTTTGGTGTTTCCTCTGGCAAATTTATGGGGTTTATTGTGAGGCATCGAGGTATTGAAATTGATCAATCCAAGATAGAAGCAATTGTGAACATGCCACCGCCGAAAAATCTTCGAGGGCTAAAAAGTCTCCAAGGCAAGCTAGCTTACATTCGAAGGTTCATTTCAAACCTTGCTAGACGGTGTCATCCATTTAGCAAGTTAATGAAGAAGGATGCACCATTTGTATGGGATGAAGCATGTCAAAATGCTTTTGAAAGCATTAAGGAATACCTCCTTCACCCTCCAATTCTTGTTGCACCCATTCTTGGGAGACCATTGATCCTTTATATTGCTGCACAAGAATATTCCTTGGGAGCATTGCTGGCACAAGTCAATGAAGAAGGAAAAGAAAATGCTCTCTATTGTATGAGCCGTACTCTCGTAGGGGCAGAAGTGAGTTATTCACCCATTGAGAAGATTTGCTTAGCCCTGATCTTCTCTACGAAGAAATTGAGAAATTATATGTTGGCTCATGTTGTACATCTCATTTCAAAAGCAGACCCTTTAAAATACATCATGTCAAAGCCGGTGCTCTCTGGTAGAATAACAAAATGGGCACTATTATTGTCTGAATTTGAAATAATTTATGTGCCACAAAAGGCGATAAAAGGACAAGCCTTAGCTGATTTTCTTGCAAATCATCCAATTCCAACTGAATGGGAGTTGTCAAAGGATCTTCCTGATGAGGAGATGTTCTTTGTAGATGTATTGCCATCATGGGAGCTTTACTTCGATGGAGCATCCAGAAGAGATGGTGCTGGGGTTGGCGTGGTGGTTGTAACGCCAAAAAATGAAGTAATACCATTCTCTTTTACTTTAAGAGAACAATGCTCTAATAATGTTGCTGAGTATCAAGCCTTGATTGCGGGCTTGGAGATGGCTCTTGAAATGCAAATTTATCAACTCAATGTTTATGGGGACTCAAGCTTGGTAGTGAATCAACTCATAAAGGAGTTTGATGTTCGAAAACAAGAACTTGTCCCATACTTCCAATATGCCTCTCAACTCCTTGAGAAATTTGATCATGTCTCAATTGCCCACATTCCTAGAAGTCAAAACAAGCAAGCAGATGCTTTGGCTAATTTAGCTGCTGTCATTACAAGTCTCGATAATCAAGAAGTCACTATTTTTGTGTCCAACGATGGATTTCACCTCATTTGAGATCTAAAGATGCAAAAAGCAATGTGTTTCAGTATTTGTCATTGAGAAAGAAGACTGGAGACAACCAATCATCAATTACTTGGAACATGGAAAGCTACCAGATGATCCACGCCAAAAATCCACAATTCGGAGGAGGGCTCTACGCTTTGTTTACTTTTGTAACACCCTCTATCAGCGATCTTTTAATGTAGTTCTCCTTAGATGTTTGGATGGAGATGAATCATCCCAAGTGGTTGAGGAGGTGCATTCTGGAATTTGTGGAGCTCATCAGTCTGGTCCAAAGCTTCACTACCGAATAAGAAGAATGGGATACTATTGGCCAACAATGGTAAAGGATTGAATGGAATATGCGAAGAAATGTGAAGCATGTCAATTTCATGCAAATTTTATCCATCAGCCATCGGAGCCTTTACATCCAACAATAGCATCATGGCCCTTTCATGCTTGGGGTTTAGATGTGATTGGACCCATAACACCAAAATCTTCAGCTGGGCATGCATATATCCTAGCAACAACTGATTACTTCTCCAAATGGGCGGAAGCTGTACCTTTGAGAGAAGTCAAGAAGGAAAATGTTGCTGACTTCATTCGAGTCAATATCATCTATAGATATGGTGTTCCAAGGCACATAATTACAGATAATGGCAAGCCCTTTAGCAACAGTCTCATGGAAAAGCTGTGTTCAAAGTTCAGGTTTGCCCAACATTTTTCCTCCATGTATAATGCTGCTGCGAATGGACTGGCAGAAGCTTTTAATAAAACCCTTTGCAATCTCCTTAAGAAAGTTGTTTCAAAGTCCAAGCGGGATTGGCATGAAAGAATTGGTGAAGCACTTTGGGCGTATCGAACGACTCATCGTACTCCAACAAAAGCAACTCCTTATTCTCTTGTGTATGGAGTTGAAGCTGTTCTCCCTTTGGAATGCCAAATTCCATCTCTCAGGATCGCCATTCAAGAAGGTCTTACTGATGAACAAAATCCAAGCTTCGTCTCCAAGAATTAGAAGCCTTAGATGAGAAAAGACTAGAGACCCAACAACACTTAGAGTATTATCAAGCCAGATTGTCTAGGGCATTCAACAAGAAGGTCTGACTAAGGGCATTTCAAGTTGGAGATGTGGTGTTAGCTATTCGAAGGCCAATTGTCATCACTCATCATTCAGGGGGCAAGTTTACTTCAAAATGGGATGGTCCTTATATCGTGATAGAAGTTTACAGTAATGGTGCCTACAAGATTGTTGACAAAGATGGTCTACAGATTGGTCCCATTAATGGAAAGTTCCTCAAGAAGT